TAAATGAAAATTTTCATCTAATTTAGTTAATGAGCACTTTACAGTCGAACAAAATGAATGGAATTGGATTTAAAATGGGAAGGTCAGGGATTTTATTATTTCAAGCGAAGAATAACTAACCTTTGGCATACATAGCTGTTCTTAGGAGTGGCATTCTGTTTTCCCAACAAATGGCAGCACCTATCTTTCCAATTGAAGTCTCAAAAACAGGAATTGTTGATCCATCACCAAATCCCCAGATTATCCGCTCCAATGCAGTTGGCATCACTTTCCTGTGCTTACCCAAGTAACGACCTTGAGGATCAAAAAATAGAACGGTACAGTACAGTGTGTAGCCATCTCTCTCTATTACCCCCATTACCAAATGCACCCTATACTTTCCAGCCATTGCTGCCAATCGATCAACTTCAGGACCTGCATGTATCGTTATCAACATATTAACATTTACTCAATTAGAACTACGTCTACCTAAGCAGCACCTAAGACAGACAATGGCTATAGCTTTTAGACCTTCAAAATATTATGTCTAGGTGTAAGAAAGAGTAGGAAGGTATGAATTTCTACCGATTCGTCTTTTATTCATCAAAGTTCATCCTAATCTCCATCGAGATTACTGACTTAGCCTTGTCCTATCATCTATATAAGGGGGTTCGTCATTTATTGACGGATTTTGTTTCATTTCGGAAGAGAGAAAAAAAGACAATTTTTTGATGATTGATAGCTCTTTTCTTCAAAGCTTATGCCATAGAAGAATCAGACTATTGACGTTTTATCTACATCTTCCTGACCAAGACTCAGAAAGAAGGGGTTCGCTTTGTTTGGGATGAACTCGCGAAGATTCAACCCGAGGACTTCCCTCGTAGAGTGGCTGAACTAATGAAACTAAGAAATGCCTGTAGATTTTTGAAGCATTGTTTCTCATTCATTAATTGAAAATTACAGGAGCCATTAAAATAGGGCTAAAGTCTCATTTCACATTTCATGAACAACCGACTCGTATTTCAGATGGAATAGAGTGACATCACTAAGTTCTTATTGTAGTGTCCTAATGTGAGCTATTATCTACTTAAAGATTGAAAGTTCATAAAGAACAGAAGATGCAAACTAAGATTTAAGACTTTGATATTAATATATGACCATATAATAAAGTTTGGTAGAGACTCATAGAGGAACGAAGTCGGCCTTCAAGAATGAGTATTATTATTATGAACCTAACAACGTCCATTTAACCTGAAATCATCTATGGTAAGACACTAATATTGTTCTCTTTACAGGTGCAACCAAAATTAAGTTAAACAAAGTCAAATTGGAAACAAAGACTAACCAGGTACATCGATCGCTGCTGCGTGGTATTTACGGAATTCCTCTTTCCCCTTGGGAGTTCTATTCCCAATGGAAACACCAAAATTTGATCCACGGGGATAACCACCAACAAAGGCTTCTGGAAACACAACTAGCTGGGATCCAAATCCAGCAGCTTCAGCCAACAACCTCTCGGCCTTATCTGTTCATGTAAACCAGAATTAGTTTTTCATTACAACCCCAGAAATTAAACAACACCCACATGGTCATAGGCTAGTAGATGGCGTACAATCTACTAAAATAGTTGATATCTACGTGAGATGATGCACAGCTCTATTAATCACTTTTGGAATTTACGAATTAAACAATTTCTCCAATGCACTGAAATTAAGGAGAAAAGAACAATCAGGAGTACAGTACAATGTTAGGCGACATTGCCAAATTCTTTGTAACGATCCAAGCTCACTAATAGTAGATGCTTCTTTAGACTTTTCTTTTCGGACTTTCCTTCAAGGTTTTTAAAACGCGTATGCTAGAGAAAGATTTTCACTCGTTCTAAAGAATGTTTCGTTCTCCTTCCCTACCAATGTAGGATCTCACAATCCACCCTCTTTCGGGGCCCAGCGTTCTTGCTGCCACTTGTTCCCTTCTCCAATCGATGTGGGACCCTCCAATCCACCTCCTTCAGGTCCCAACGTCCTTGCTGGCATACCGCCTCATGTCCACCCCCTTTTGATGCCTAAAGTCCTACATCAATTGGAAAAAGAGAACGAGTGCTAACGAGGACGCTAGGCCCTGAAGGGGTGGATTGTGAGATCCCACATTCGTTGGAGTTGGAGAGGGGAACGGAGGATTCTTTATAAGGGTATGAAAACCTCCCCTACCAAACTAATTTTAAGGAAAGCCAAAAGTGTACAATATTGGGCTACTAACAGTTAGATTCATATTGACAGCAAACTGGAAAACCAATGAAAAACGAAAAAAATCGAGGATATAATAGCTTAAATGAACTAAATCATTATTCGCAAATCTGCAGATAGAAGCTTCATAGAGTAAACAAAACATTCAAACAACTGATAAGCTTCTAACATCACACCAAAAAACAATCAGGAACTCATTCCAAACTCTGAAATGACCATCCCAAGCCAAGAGGTGGTTAGCAAAGAAACAGCAGTAAGATAACTACACAATGATAAAATTAAAGTGTAAGTGAGGAAAGGAAACCTAGAGTGGCAGGAGTGTCGTAGAAGATGGTGGAGGCCTGAACGACGGTGGCTCGAACAGTCGGTACAGATACATCGGAGCCCATATCCACCTCCGCTATCAGTTGGGTATCGTTGGCGGCCGTGGTTGGCACAAGCGCCATGGCGGATGGATGATTCGAAATCGCCCTTTTTCCCTCTTAGCTTGAACTTGAGCTTGAGATTGGAGCAGAGAATGAGTGTGCGATGAATGGAGTCCAGTGGTTTTCAGATAGTTCGTGGAAGTTGCTAGAAGGATATATATATATATATATATATATATATATATATATATATATTAGCTATTATGTAAGCCACCCTAATTATTAGTTAAAGTTGGTTGCTATTTCTGTTTCTTTTTCATATTTTATAGTCTTTGGAAAAAAGTATAAAATATGAGAAAAAGTCACTAAACAAATAATAATTTTTATTCCATTACGGCCCTTTATTGAAAGTCAACGCTTTAAAACGCGTCTATTAGAGGAATATGGTGATTGTTGAGGAATTTCTACACCCTTATAAATGGTGATTGTTCTTCTCCCCAACCAATGTGGGAACATCACAATCCACCCACCCCCTCGGGGCCAGCGTTCTCGCTGAGACTCTTTCCTTCTTCTAATCGATGTGGGACCACCCCCAAATCCACCCCCCTTTGGGGCCCAGCGTCCTGGCACACCGCCTCGTGTCTACCCCCCTTTGGGAACAGCGAGAAGGCCAGCACATCGTCCGGTGACTGGCTCAGTTTCCACACCCTTATAAGATTTGTTCTACTCCCCAACCAATGTGGGACATCACAATAAAGCCTTGAGGGGAAGCCCGAAAAGGGAAAGCCCAAAGAGGACAATATCTGCTAACGGTGGATTTGGGTCGTTACATGGAGTATATGCTCTCTATCTCGAGATTCATGACTCTATATCGAGATCGACTGTTTTTCGTCTCGATTTTGATACTGATCTTAATTTAACTTGAATTATGATCTATTAGAGAAACTTCAAACTCTTAGCAAGCGGAAAAACAAGACCAAGAAGGCATGCATCACCTAAGCAAGTACCCATTAAAACTTTCAAGTAATATTTGTAGGTATCCCTAAGACATGCTAGCATGTGAGCATATCTTGCTTTAGGTGGTTAGAATATGCATGATTATGACCGAAGAAGGATAATTTGGGTAATAAAGTTATCTTATGAAAAAAAAAAAAAAAAAGCCTATAGTATGAGAATTTAAGATGCATGCTTTTTTTTATTGCTTTTGGGTCTCTTAAAAGAGGGATGGGAAGTTGCGATCGGTGTTCTGATTGATGAACGTCATCTCCCTACTGAGCTTATTTGAACATTTAAAGAACGTATCTTGTATTATAAAGGAAATTTCAGATGACTTATGAAGGTGCTAGGAGCATGAACGATATCACTCGCATCCGAACGCCTCTTATTTATCTCTAGTACCTCAACAATACTATTTTGTGACCTAGGTCAAAAGACATCTAGTAAGCTCGTACTGTTGAGGTTAACCGAGGTCAAATAGGATGACACGTGTGGCAACATGAGGAGTTACTATTATGTGTAGGGATAGGTCTAGAGCTTAGGCTATGGTTTCGTAAACTCGTCCTTAGAGGAGATGATGGACTATCTAAGTAATTTAACTCATGATGAGTGCTACTTTTGTGTGTGAAAATGGTCGGGGCACCCTGAACAAGTTTGTTGCATTGTAAATCCACTTTAATAGGGCCACAGGGATAGATTAAGTAGTTGGTGGGCATGCTCGAGTTGCTCTTTAGATATTAACATTATGATGGTTTCATGAAGGGAATGCACTCCTCATTATTTAAGCTATGAAGTATCCTATAAAAAACTATGACGACTCAAGTTCATCATTAACCGATATTGTCCTATTTGTGTTTTCCCTTAAAGTAAAGATTTTCATGCTATTATAAAGGGTGTTTCGTTTGCCTCTCCAACCGATGTTGAATCTCACAATCCACCCCCTTCAGGGTCCAGCATTCTAGCAATCAATGTGGGACTCTCACTAAATCCACTCACATCGGGGCCAACGTTCTTACTAGCATACCGCCTCATGTCTACCCCTCTTCGAAGAACAACTTCCTCGCTGACACATCGCCTTTGACTCTGATACCATTTGTAATGACCCAAACCTACCGCAGCAGGTATTGTCCTTTTTAGAGTTTCTTCATGGGCTTCCTCTCGATGTTTTTAAAACGTATTTATTAGGAAAGGTTTCCACACCTTTATATTTATAAATTGTACTCCTCTCTAACCGATGTAGGATGTACAAAAACGAAGGACATAAATTAACGTGACAACTAATCATAAAAATCAAACGGGTTCGATAGTACCATTTACAACTCAATTTCAACCTTCCTATAGCCACCAATGAGTCTATTTCAGTCACTTTCTTTGTTTCTTACAAAAGGGAACAAAGCTTGAGAGCCCAAATCACATGAGACAGAGAAGTATGGGCATGGCCAATGAGGTAACAAGTCACCCCTGCTGCGCTGACTTCTCGCCCATGGATGAATCCAAAACTCCACCGTTATTTCCCTTCAACAAAGAACCCTATCGCCATTGAAACGGCGCCAACATAGCCATCAATTTCCGATCCGACTGTCTACATACACCGCTCAAATCAACCCCCATGCGTCATTTCACTTTCTTCAAGGTTTCTAATGCCTCAACAAAATCCCTTTCACATGCGCTCAAAGCGAAGAATTCTCCCAAGCTTTTTTTTCCTCTCTCCCACCGCAAGCCCTCGAAGAAGATACGAATTCGTTCCTTTGTTTCACCTTTTGTGATTTGAAAACTCGAGCTATTTGGCAATGGCGGCTGCTTCTGAGAATGGAGTTTCCAAGGAACTGCAGCTTTCAATGGCGGTTTCGTCTATGTTTCCTGGTTTTCGCTTTTCGCCGACCGATGAGGAGTTGATTTCGTTTTATCTCAAGAAGAAATTAGATGGCTACGAGAAGAGCGTTGAAATCATCGCGGAGGTCGAAATTTACAAGTACGAACCCTGGGACTTACCTGGTCAGTGTTGCTTTTTTCAATGGTCTTTGATTCTTAGAGCCCTTGTCGAAAACCCTACATCGAATCTATTATGCTTATTGGCGGCTATTTCGATTGTTCTTGATTCATGCTTTCCAATTTGGTTGTGCTTTTTCTGGTGTTTGATTAGGGGATGTTTTTCTTTTTTCTTTCTTCATGTAATCAGCCAAGTCTATAATTCAATCAGATAATGAATGGTTCTTCTTCTCCCCTCGTGGAAAGAAGTACCCAAATGGTAATCAGACCAGGAGAGCTACTGATTTAGGCTACTGGAAAGCTACAGGGAAAGAACGTAATGTTAAGTCAGGTTCCAATGTTATTGGAACCAAGAGGACTCTGGTTTTCCATACTGGCCGTGCACCCAAAGGGGAAAGAACAGAGTGGATTATGCATGAATATAACAAGGATAAAGCTCAGGTATGTTGTTAACTACATTTTGCCTTTGTTCTGAAATCTTTCCTTCAAATATAGTCACTGATATATTGTCACAAAGAAGCTAGGAGTTGATTCTTTCAATTACTTTTCTTATTGGTCTTACTTAGAAGAATGTTTGTTCCAATTCTAGCACCTTGCAAGCACATTGAGCATTTTGAGTTTAGACAAAAAAAATTTTGAGATCCCATCTCGGTTGGGGAGGAGAACGAATCATTTTTTATAAGAGTGTGGAAACCTCTCTATAGCGACGCGTTTAAAAACATTGAGGGGAAGTCCGAAAGGGTTGCTCAAAGAGTACAATATCGGCTAACGGTGGGCTTAGGCCATTACAAATGGTATTAGATTCAGACACTGGGCGGTGTACCAGCAAGGACGCTGGGCCCCTAAGGGGGAGTGGATTGTAAGATCTCACATTGGTTGGTGAGGGGAACGAAGCCTTCCTTATAAGGGTGTGGAAACCTCTCCCTAGTGGACACATTTTAAAACCTTGAGGGGAAGTTCGGAAGGGGAAGCCTAAAAAGGACAATATCTACTAGCGGTCGACTTGGGCTGTTGCAAATGGTATTAGAGTCAGACATCGGGTAGTATATCAGTGAGGACGCTGGGGCCCCAAGGGGGGTGGATTGTGAGATCCCACAACGGTTGGAGAGGTGAATGAAGCCTTCCTTACGAGGGTGTGGAAACCTCTCCCTAGTGGACACGTTTTAAAATCTTGAGGGGAAGTTCAGAAGGGGAAGCCCATAAAGGACAATATCTGCTAGCGGTGGACTTGTGCTATTGCAAATGGTATTAGAGCTAGATACTAGGCGGTGTACCAGCGAGGACGCTGGGCCCCTAAGGGGGTGTATTGTAAGATCCCACGTCGGTTAGAGAGGGGAGTGAAAGCTTCCTTGTAAGGGCGTGAAAACCTCTCCCTAGTGGACACGTTTTAAAACTTTGAGGGAAAGTCCAAAAGGGAAAGCCCAGAAATGACAATATCTGGTAGGAGTGGGCTTGTGGGCTTGTGGGCTTGTGGGCTTGTGGGCTTGTGGGCTTGTGGGCTTGTGGGCTTGTGGGCTTGTGGGCTTGTGGGCTTGTGGGCTTGTGGGCTTGTGGGCTTGTGGGCTTGTGGGCTTGTGGGCTTGTGGGCTTGTGGGCTTGTGGGCTTGTGGGCTTGTGGGCTTGTGGGCTTGTGGGCTTGTGGGCTTGTGGGCTTGTGGGCTTGTGGGCTTGTGGGCTTGTGGGCTTGTGGGCTTGTGGGCTTGTGGGCTTGTGGGCTTGTGGGCTTGTGGGCTTGTGGGCTTGTGGGCTTGTGGGCTTGTGGGCTTGTGGGCTTGTGGGCTTGTGGGCTTGTGGGCTTGTGGGCTTGTGGGCTTGTGGGCTTGTGGGCTTGTGGGCTTGTGGGCTTGTGGGCTTGTGGGCTTGTGGGCTTGTGGGCTTGTGGGCTTGTGGGCTTGTGGGCTTGTGGGCTTGTGGGCTTGTGGGCTTGTGGGCTTGTGGGCTTGTGGGCTTGTGGGCTTGTGGGCTTGTGGGCTTGTGGGCTTGTGGGCTTGTGGGCTTGTGGGCTTGTGGGCTTGTGGGCTTGTGGGCTTGTGGGCTTGTGGGCTTGTGGGCTTGTGGGCTTGTGGGCTTGTGGGCTTGTGGGCTTGTGGGCTTGTGGGCTTGTGGGCTTGTGGGCTTGTGGGCTTGTGGGCTTGTGGGCTTGTGGGCTTGTGGGCTTGTGGGCTTGTGGGCTTGTGGGCTTGTGGGCTTGTGGGCTTGTGGGCTTGTGGGCTTGTGGGCTTGTGGGCTTGTGGGCTTGTGGGCTTGTGGGCTTGTGGGCTTGTGGGCTTGTGGGCTTGTGGGCTTGTGGGCTTGTGCTGCTACAAAATTGACAAACTATCTTTTGTATGATGCAGGATTTTCTAGTTGTTTGCCGCCTCAGGAGGAATAATGAATTTCGTCAACATAGTAGCTCAAACCGAGCTTCTTGTAGTCAAATGAATCTATCCTCTTTGCAAGCTCATTCTGGCGAGCAGGTTGATTCTACATCTGAATCCAATCAAAAAGATGCTGCAGAAGCTGCACTTGTGGAATGCTCTGATGGGCAGAAGGTAAATTCTAACATCCTGTCACCAGTAGTCTTGTTCTTCGTACTACTGTTGTGCAACGGATCTGCTAATGTCTAGGGACTCCTCTTACTAATCTTGTGAAGGAAACCATTTACTAGAGATTCCCAGGTTTCATTTCATCCCAGAAATGAGGCAAGGGGACTCTATTAGACTTTCATTTCATCACATATACTCTCAAAGCTATATATTTAGTTGGACCTAGTTTAGACATTCAGCTAGTTAAATGCCTAAGTAGATTTGTGAAACATGAGATTCTCAAGAGAAAAAGAACACCCAACAGGTCGATTAGTAAAGTCCCGCTTTCTCGCATTCAGGATTATGGTTCTGATGATTTCTACTCCGACATACTAAAAGACGACATTATAAACCTCGACACGGCACCTTACAATGCTGCTTCAGATCTGATGCCACTGGATTTCCATAGATCAGACACAACGCGAGAATCTCAGACTGAGGCGAACGACGGATTGGAATGGCTACCAAGCCAAGGGTTTGCAAATAGGAGAATCAGATTGAAAAGGAGAGAAGCCACTAAAGCAAAGAAGTTGGACGCTGTGAAAATTGGTGGTTCCAGATATAAGGTTGAGAAAGTAAGGTTTTCTTCCTTAGAACTATGGCGAAGCAGGTTGATGAACACTGCCTCTTCTATTAGCATTTTTGGTTGCTATGTTCGAGTTGTTGTGATATCTTTTTTGTTGATTTTGATAGCTTTGTTTATGTCTCGATTGGAGGTCTTTGGTATGCCCAAAGGGCTCTACTGATCTGTGCTGATATGCCAACAAGAGGTTGTTTTAACCCTTTGAAGTTGATATCTAATTCACATCTAGTTGTAGAATAAGATTTGAGTTTGATATCTATTCGGTAACTATAGTTTCAAAATAGGCATTTTTAGTCTATGAAGTTTTTTAAATGGTTCTAAATGACTCAGGCTAAAGCAACAGTGACATGACATGACAAAACATATTAATATCTTTTGCTATCTTAGGACTGCATCATTTTTTTGTTTCATGATAATTAGTAAATTTAAAATTTATGAATTTTAGTAGTGATCTTTTTCATCTATCAAAGTTGCCTTCGAATTCGTCGTTGGGCGTGAGTTGCAAGTGAGTTACATGTATATTGATTTTTTTTTTCCTAGTGTAACAAACCTTTGTCCTCAAAGGAAGGAGTAGACTAATTGTCGAACAAGGGAAGCTTGTGGAAACAAATTTATCTATTTGAATGTTGGAGGTCCATTCAAATATAGCGGAGTGGATAAGGTATAAATCAATCGTTCTATTTTTCGATTCATAACTATTAAACTCAAAAGAAAAAATAATTTGAGATGATATTTTTTAAAACGTGATCTCCTTGACTGGTAAAAAAGAATACAAAGAAAGGATGCGTGCATAATCAATTTTGAATTATGAGTAAAAGAGATAATAGAGTTATTACTTTAGTGAAAGAGTTTATAGAGTTTATACAAAGAGACAATAGAGTTTATACTTTAGTAAAAGAGTTTATAGAGTTTATACTTTGATTTGCGGGGTGAAAATGACTCTGGTAGTCTATTTAATATGTCTATGTTTTGGAACTTAACCAAATTTGAATGTATGTCTACTATTTTTCGCTTCATAACTATTAAAGTCAATCCCGAGTGGCAAAAGACCCCTTTTTCCTAATGAGGAGTGATTATGATAAATGTTCAGTGACTTCAAACGAACCAATTTAGAAATTAGAATCGCTCAAATCTCTCCAGAATCAACGAAGAATAGGAAGTATGATTTTCAAGATTTTGATCTTGATTTTCTCCGGATTTGAGCGATTTACTTGAAATTAGGTTCTAAAATTTTAATATGTTGTTTTTGAAGTGATTTTACACAACCTTCGTGAATAAAGCCGAAATTAAATCAGAATTTGAGTTCTGGTGATCACCAAGAATAATATGTTATGTGTTTTGGACCAATTTTGAATGCATTTATTTCTTTTCACACTTAATGAAATGGAATGAAAATTATTCTTTTGGAAAGATGAATTAAAACTTTACAAGTTTGGTGAAGAAATAAATTGATTCAAGTTTCGTAGAAAAAGATATAAAAAATTAAAAAATTAAGAATAAAAATCGAAAACTAAAGGAATTTTGTAAATCATATGCGTATGCGTGGGCCGATGAGGAGCGGAAATGCGTCAAACAAGTAATGGTGGAACGTGGCTGCCAGATGTGGATATGCGTCAAAAGCAAATGGAGGCACACATCTCAAAGGTTGAGGAGGACCCACAGACCATTTTGACCTAACTCGTCCACTTAAAATCGCATGCACTCTACCCAAGCTTCGACTCGAATCAGCCGACCCAAATGTTGAAGATAGTTGGAGTCCCACATTGGCTAATTAAGGGGAAGATCAAAAGTATATAAGTGAGTGAAACTATCTTCATTGGTAATAAGGTCTTTTGGAGAATCCAAAAACAAACCCACAAGAGCTTATGTTTAAAGTAGACAATATCAAATTAATGTAGAGGTTCACTATTCCTAACATTAAATTGACCTGAACGGATGTGCCAGTCTACGTGCGCCACATGTTGAACCAAGAGTGCATCGGCGTGTTTGACGCCAGACCTTCTTATTAGCCACTTAGAAGTGCTATTTTGGATGAGAATGCATTCCATGTATGTTATGAAAAATTATGATATACCCTTAGGATGCGATTTTGAGATGCATACTAGATTTTATGCTTTTCGCAGAGTGAGGAGGGATTATGCATGACTAGAATTTGAGTTAAGCAATTCAAACGAGTAAGTTATGTAAGATGTAAAAAATTACCAAAATGCTCTTAGGATGAGATTTTGAGAGGAATGTTGTTTTAAATACTTTTCACTTTGTCAGAAAAGAGGATGAGATATTGTAATCTGTGCTTTGATTTGCTATTTTGATCTGTCTCTAAGTGACTAATGGATGTTATCGTTTCGTTGAGTTTGAATGAATGTTCTGCTTATGATTTTGGTGCTTTATATGATTGATAGAATTTTCTCCCTAATAATTTTACACGAGTGTTAAGATTATGAATAACATGCTTTAGGTGATCGATAGAATAATCTCCCTGACAAAGCATGCACAAGAGAATTAGTATAAGACTAGAGCACTAAAGCTAAGAAGATTTCAAGTTGACTTAGGTCAGTTTATTTTTAGTAGACCAAGCACCCTAGAATCGTGAGTGGTGATCAGAGTTGTAGACTTTTGTGCACCCAGAGAATGGATTAGCCCGAGAGTTAGTCATAAACGTTCTAGAAACGAGAGACCAGATTTAAATTGCCTAGGCACTTTTAAGAGCCTAGTAGACCTCCACGGTACCCAATAATGACGAAGGTAACTCTCTAGACTATTAGTAGTATAAACGATGTCAACAAGGTCTCTACTACCCTTTCTAGTCTAGCACTAGTATTTTTGAGCTACGACTAGTCTAGTTAGGGTAGTATGACAAGATGACTAGGTGCCCCAATTTTGTGGAAGGGCTTAGGTTTCAAGACATTCACCTTGTCAAATTGGATTGCACTCTCAGTTGAAGTTTGGTTCCCACTACTCTCATGGTGAGATTTAACTTGGCGCTCAGATCTGCCACTCCAGCCCTAACCACTTCGAGGGCTACTCTTAAATCTCATACATTTTTAAGAAAATCTAAATGATTGTTTGTTGGGCATTGCCTAGGCCCTCGATATGTTCATCCATCTAGGCAACAGAGCCTGTTGAGCTATCCCCATGCTCGAAGTCACCAACAGTTGTGACCTCGATCCTAACCATTAATTCGCGAATCGGCATTGCCTCAAGGCGACCTGCCATTTTATCGATCATGTTGGCTTTAGCATCAATCTTGTTCATTTGAGACTTCAAAAGCCCCATTCCATCAGGAACTTCACTCAAATAGAGCAATTGATCTTTGATCTCCGTGATTCAGTCAGTTTGAGACTTACCTAGTTGTTTTCAGCAGATATGTTTGATTACTATAATTCAAGGAGCTAACTCAACACTAATACCACTTGTCATAATTGCACTCTTGCGGCAGCGGAAGAGCGATTATGCGACACTTGTTCTAACCCAGCGAACAAGTCAACCACGTGAAAATCAAACTTTATGGATAATCTTGACATATAATCAAGCCTCGAGTCACGTTTGACAGAAAATATTTTATAAGACGTGAGCGAGTAAATTTGTTGCAAATAATTTGAGAGAAAATAATGTTATAGGCTAAACGCCTAGTAATATCTTTCCATAGTATTGGCACATTTTAGCCTTGGCGAGTGTAGATATGATTTTGGTGAACGGTTATATATCTTCGTATTGATATGATATGAATAGTAAAGACCTAGCGACACATAAAAGCAAGTAAAAGAAGTTTGGAATGAACATACGACCATAGACAACATGCCTTGGATAAGTATGACCAGGGCATCCAAAACATGGCCACAAGCAACAAGTATTGGACAAGCAGGACTGTGACAATTGTGCATACTCGTTCTCCTTTGCCTGTATGGACGCACGAGTGAGTTCCTTTTTTATATTTTTTATTATTTTTCATCCCAATTTCGATATTGATATTAATTTCACTTGAATCAGGACCTACAAGTTATTTTACAAAAATTTTGGAGCTTTCAATATGCAAAAAAGTAAGCTTGGAGTTTAGGCAAGTAATACTTGTAGGGATTGCTGGGACCTTCTACCATGGGAGCATGTTCATTCCAAACTTAGATAAGTGACCAATTTTAATGCTCCGACCTTCTACTTGTAAGTGGTTAGAATATGCATCTTTAGGACTGTAATGACCAATTTTAGATAAGTGAACAATGTATGTTATAAAAAATTACGAAAATGCCCATATGATAGGAATTTAAGTTGCATGTCTATTTTAATGCATTCCGCTGTGATATAATGGAGGATGAGACATTGTGATCTGTCTCGGAGTAATTAATGGATATATTCTAGTTGACTTTGATGGTATGTTTCTAAATTATGAATTTGTTTTTAGGTGATTGTAGGAATATAGCTTGAACCAAGTTAAGTTTAGGATGCTAGAGTTAGGGCAGTTTTTTAGTTAACCTCGGTCAATAGCTTCCAGTAGTCCGAGCACCATAGAATCTTGAACGACGATTAGAGGTTATTTGAGAGTACCTTGAGGTTGGATTAGCCTCGAGGTGTTCGCCCCGAATGTCCTGAAAATGATAGACGATATGTAAATTGCCTAAATGCCCATAGATAGTTGTAGGAATAGACCCAAACTTTATTAAGCCTAGAGAAAAGCCTTGAAAACCTACTAAAAAATGGATATGATGAGAGCTTGCAAATAAGTTGCTTAATGAGTTTTTTTAAACTCACCCTTTTCTCTTTTTTCCAAGTGAATGCAGGTACCGATGAAGGTGGAGGAATTCTCGAAAGTTGTGCTGTCACAGAGGGGTATAAGAGGTGTTAATGTAGTCTATATTTTTATGGGTTGTCATTTGTACACTTTTGTATTCCGTTCTCGTTCCCCTTTTATAAATAACCTAAACAACACCTGTTTTGTATTATTTTAGATTTTGGATTTTGATAATGGTTGTATGTCTTTAATTCGCGCAAAATTTTACTATGTTTTTGCCTTCATTTGTTTATTGTTTGTCTGGTCTTTCTAGTCACCGCTCGAGATTGGAAACCTCAAAATTCGGGTTGTTGTAATAGTTAATCTTCAAGTCAACTATTTCTGTCGTTCCTCGTCCACTCTCAAGGCTAGTTTATCTTACACAAACTAGTGGCTCCTCAAATTGATACCATTCACGTTGATAGTGGGCTCATAAGTTCTC